GGTGCCCGATGTGGTGTGCTTCGTGTCGGCGAGGCGCAGATGTTGGAGACACTACGTGGACAGGATGGACGATGAGTGTTGAGCGAAATGGGCCAAAAGTGAGAGACCGAATTCGAGTAAACCTGTTGGATGACCGCCGAAAAGGTGGCATAAATGCTGGACTTTATCCTAAGAGGCCTGATGAAGCAGAAAAAATAAGACATAGTAAATAAAGAGGAAGAAGAAGACGAATGTTCTGTTCTTCGACCATTTTCTAGAAACGAAATCGATACAAATAACATCAAAAAAGCTGTTGACTGCATCACGTGCTCGGCAACCGATCGCTTGGAGACTCAACATGCTGAGTCGCCGGCAACTAGTTGCTTAAGGGTAACGGGTAGCGGTAAACAAACCCCGTAACGATAATCTTGTCCACACAAGTAGTGGCTCTAAAAATTCTAGATGACAAAATAAAAAGTATGCAGACATTGTTACATTACACTGACAGTCTACTAAGCATTACTCAAATATACTTAACTAAATGTACTTGCCGAAGCTGAAACGCAGATATAGAAATTTTAGATACATAATTATGATTATTAAACATTTGTTAATATTAAGTTTATTCTGCTACTGTATAGCTGATTTAGAATTAACAAGATTATGTTTTACATATTTTGCAATTTCAAACCATTCAAAATTAATGTTACTAGGAGAAATCACCAAAATAGATAAGTATACGAGAAGAACAATGTTTTCGAAAGAACAGATCCACTACTGACAGAATATTTGTTGTCAAACAAATATCCGAAATATCCCCAAAATTTAATAAACCTGCGTACAGTGTCGGCCTTAGGCATCGGAGCGCCGCGGGCAAGATATTTTTTGGCGCCCTTTATTTCTCACTGTTATATTTGACTTCTCTTTGAGATCAATATATACTATTACTTACACTAGTAACAATAAGTAGACGCACGAAAAACTTATTTAAAGTTTTTATTCCAAACACAGTTTTTATACAAACGGAAAAATATATGTTTTGTCCTCTTCTTCTCCTAATCCTTATGCCTGATGGCTTCGGAAAAAAACTATAACAACGATTCAAATTTTGTTGATATCAAAGTACGGAAACTAAAATATGTGAATTATTTAGTAATTTTTTATTAACTTTAAAAATCAATATCTATATCGATATGATTACCAGTAAAGCAGTTTAGCTTTTCCTATGGGAAAATTTTTTAATTAAGGCAGAGAAATCAAGATTTTCTGCAATTTCATTTTCCATAGATAATATAGCGTGACTAGTTACGTCTTGTTTGCGATATTGTTGATCTTTATTAATTTTAACTTGAAAAAACTGCGTTCTCCAGTTGCAACTGTTACTGGTATTGTTGGAAACAACTCTTAAAATGAGTACTTTTTGAACAAATTCAAAACATCAGTAGGGGTACTCTTTCAGGTAATGTTGCGGACTCAAGATTTCGTCACACAATAAGTCTCCATTAGGATCCGATTCAGAGTTGAATGTTTTTTTTTTGCAACAGCTGTGCTTTATTTTGCTTTTGTTTTATGTCAAAAATTCAGGAAAATCTTTAAGTTGACTACATTTTTCTTAGTCGCTTTTGGGATTAAAGATTGGCTGCACATTTAGTTCTGACGCTATTTCAGTTGCTGTTCTAATAGCTTATTCGAAACCTATTTGTCGGTAATTTTCCAAATATGAACAACATTCTTTAAACATTTCTGAAATATGAACGAAGTCAATTTTAGGTGATTGATTTGCTTTGCTCACAACATTTATTTGAAAAAAAACATCGTACCATTTTACAAGAAAAATTATAAAGTTAAAGTCTTTCAGTTATAAGTGTTGTCACTTCGTGTGATGTCGTAGGAGCGTTTGGTTTGGTATCTTCAACCAAAGACGCTAAAGCATCATGAACGTCACAATATTAATATTTAACCGCCTTTGATTCGGGAATTCCAGCGAGTATCACTTATTTTTTTAAGGGTGTAGCTATTCAGATGCTCCCTTAAAATTTTCCATCTATTTACTGATGCTGTAAATACAGTCAATATTTTTTGCAAGATTCCGAATAAAGATTAAAAGACTAAATTATAATTGTGACATCCACATGGTACAAAGAAAGCTAATAACATTTTTCCATCGTAAACTTTTCTTAGAAATTAACTTGATTATGACAATGGATAAAATAATAGAAAATCTTCTCAGCACAGCTTAATTCAAAATAGGAAACACATTTTTTCATGCCGTCTGCTACGCTCACGATACTGTCCTTATGGCAGATTCCGAGGTTAAGTTCGTTAAAAACTGAGAACCTAAATGAATAACCCAGTAGGAAAAAGATCACAGGAAAGACCACCAAAAGGATGGCGAGAATATTAGATCTCATCTTCCGGTGAGGACGTGTTGGCAATATTAGAAAGAAGACGATTAAGTTAAGCCACATTTTTTTAAAACATATCTCTACTTTCTAATTCAGTGACAACACACCATTATATTTCAATATGGTTTTCAATTGAATATTATTCAATACATCATCAACTGCATTTTTTATATGGATGCCGCAAATAGTTTTTCTAACATTTCTTCTTTTATATGTTACCAAAAATTGTTCGCTATGTTTCTAAAGAGGTATTGTCACTCGGAGTTCCACTTAAACAATGAAAGAGTCGCTTTTACCTATCGATAAATACAACACGGTAAAAAATAACTAACTCTATTTTAAATCTAACATGTTTCCAGGAGGTCCATTCATTTTCCGAGTTAATATTTCAATCGGTTGTTAGAGCAAATTTTAGAGATTAAATGAATCTATGGTAAAGTGAATTATTAACTCTACGATGAGTGAACACAGATTACATATTAAATCTCGGCAGAGTTGAAATTATAATCTATACAGATTTTACAATGCACTCGAAATTAGTGTTTGGTATATTCTTAATAGAATGCTACAATCTAGGTAGATTTTTTAGCAATATACTCAAAATTAGATTTAGGTATATTCTAAATAGAGTTATAAGAAAATAGACAGTGTTCACAAAATAGGTTTATTATTGTAAAAACAGAACAATCGAATAAATAATTGCATTTATGCTATCTTAATATATACTAAGTCGCTATATTTAAGTAAGCATACTGAAATTATAAAACAAAATCATATGCAGGTGTCATTTTTAATGCAAAACACTTAAACTACTAACACAAAAAGTTAAACTAAAAAATAAATCCATATTTTAATACCAAATAAAAATCAGCCTCTAATTGCGTTTGCGCTAAATTGAACGGCTCCTTATACATCAGAAGATTTAAATCTATAATATTAATAGGAAATTGCACTTTGAATGCATTAAAGATATCCACATACCGTTGAGAACAAACTGAACAACACGCCTTGTTTTCACATCAACACGTGTTCAAGCATGAAAGGTTGTGAACTTGTTAGGGCTTTTCTGGATTTAGAGTAACTTTCCACAGTGTTAATAGTTAAATTTTAACTCTAGCATGTTTAACGTAAATCTACAACAGGAAACTTTAATTTATTAGAGTATATTGAAAAAATTATCTGTAATAGAGTTTATCCATAAGTAGAGTAAATAATAGAATAATATTTACTCTAAAAAAAAACACTCTATATTTTTAATCTGCACTCTAAAATTTTAAACCGGGATTATTTTTTACCGTGTATTAACTATGCTGTAAAATATGCATTTATAGTAAATATTTTGCAAAATATCATTTGCTGTCTTGCAGGATTTAATCTCTTTTAATTCGGTAAGTAAAATTGATAATTACAAATTGATAATATACATTTCTCAATGTTTGTCAGATTTACTTATCGCCAAATCTACCTTTTCCATTTAAAATAGAAATTTATATTAAGAAATACACTATTTCCTTTACATAGAAGTATATTTTCAAAATTAATTGATAAAATAATTATATTAAAAATTATAACTGTACTTTTCAGAGAAATTTTTCTCAGTTTACTACCAGTTAGAAACAGAAAGAGATCTTAAAAAAACTTCGTCTAGAGATGTTTTCGAAAATAAAAATTTTTATATCCGTTTAAAATCGTTAAATCTCTACAATACTTTTTCAAATTGAGATCTTTAAAATAATTTATGTTTTAGAAATTTGATATTAAAAGTCTTTTCCTATTCTTATAATTTATAAATTTATTACCATTTAACTTTTTTTAATTTATTGGCAAACCGATTCCTTTGTTGAAAATAAATCTTAAAAAAAATTTAAATAAACATTATATAATTAAAATTTTGGGCAAATTGCCCGAAATTAATTCTAAATTATTGAAGTTTATAGCTCTAAATAGTAGTAATTTTACAATCTTTACTATTTTGAAAAAAATCTATCTTGAAAAAATATTTGTTCCTGAAGACAATTTTAAAACTTGTTTCATATTAATTACTAAATTAAGCTCTTTTCTTTGCAATCTGTAGATTTAAAGTTTTCTTTAGATTTAACAATTAAATAACTTAATTATGTACTAAATATATGTACTAAATTAAATTTGAATAAATTCCATCTTCTGTGTAGATATTTTTGGAGCTAGTAATACATAAAGATTATTAGCATCCGTTTAAAATCGTAAAATTTTTACGATATTCTTCCCAGTTGTTATGTATCTGCTATAAATCAAACCTGTTACTTTTATTCATCTACGATTGGTGCTAAACACAAAGTGTCGATTAACGGATTACGTTAGTTGAAGAATTTTAATGGTACCCAAACTATCTATAAGAAAACTTTAACTACAAAATCAAAGGTTATCCAAACGATTTTATTTTTTTTACCAATTTAAATAGAATTATTTTCACGAATCGACTGTGATCCAGTTTATTTTAATTTCATAATTTATGTAAATCAATAACATAAACATCTTGTATTTGTTTATATTTAGTTTAAGAATAGAACTTCCTTAATCATAAACTTCAAACTTTATACTAACATTTTCAAACAAAAACAAAAAAATAAAACTTACAGAGACATCGTTGAAATCACCAAATCCACACAGTTAAAAAAATTTTATTGTGTTCATATTTCACTTTTAATCGACACAATTCACTGGAACTATTCACCCTGAAAATTTGAAAACTTTTACGTTGGGAGAGCGCGGTTTAGATTTCAGGACGTCGGTACCTGAAGCCGCTTCAGCGCGATACTACGAACGGTGAACTGAAATTTCAGGCGTCGAACAGTACTAACTGTACATGCGCAAAAATTTCGTTATCATCTTGATCTCAAAAGACTTACAAACTCTATTTTATTTATTTTCTTTTTAACTTATTCCCGAAATTGTAATGAAATCTAAAGTTATACATAGAACTTTATTTCGTAATGTTTGTTAATATGGGAATATTTTGAAACTATCTTTCTGTGAAATACAAAATAATTTTTTTTCGGAAGCTGAACGTAGCAGAAAATGAGTGTGATATAAAAACTGACCCAAGCACTAAACCGTACTTCGGTATAGTTACAGTGTTGGCAGCTTCTCTAATTTTCTCGCCCAACTGCTGTAAATTATCTGCGTTAGTGTCTTCAGAGCCGTAAATGGACTACGATATCCTCGCAAAAAGAAAAAAATTACCACGATCTTATTACACTTTCCTTTTTTAACCAAGTAAACGACCTCGTTGGAAATCAACCTAAATGAAAAATGAGATAGTTTTTTCTAATACTACTTTTATCTAATATTATTATTAGAAATTATTATTATTATTATTTCTATGTAACATGTATTATTGATTTAAAATAAAAATTATCTCTTAATTTATGTTAATTAAAAGGAAAACGCGAAGAAACCTAATATCTTGCGGCTTCAATATCTCTACATATCAGCATAGAGAGGGAGAGAGAGAGAGAGAAATGGGTGATTATTTAGACCGCCCACCGAAAAAGTATCTTCAACGAGGATGTTTATTATTAGAAAATGGAAATGCAAATATGTAGTTACTCTGTTTGTAAATATGCCTGGAAGATTCAACAATCTCTGGCACCTCGCCCAATTTTCCAGATTAAAGGAATTCCAGCAGTCGAAATCTTCAACAATTTTTTTCGGAATTACATTGCTCAGCTAATTAAAGTAAATAAATATTTACTCATTTCTTTTTAAATACTTCAACTTCTGTCTCATTTCGCTATTACGGTTTCATTTTAGCCTCCACATTTTAGAAACATATTCATATAAGAAAAAGATCGAACATACATTTTTACGATACAGTATCCACCTATTTAAAATCCAACATTTTTATTCGGAGAATAAATCTCTTGCATTACTATCATGTTATTTTTCTATTATATTGTACCTAGACCTTATTGAGGCTTATCAAAGAATTATCATTTATGAAAAATCACGTTTACCGTTTAATTTTATTGTTAAACTGATAGAATAGTCTCCAACCTCATCAAGAATAACCTCATACTGGTCGTAGTCTAAGAAGTATATATCAAAAGTGGTAAATCTTAAATATCACTTATAATTATAACCATTCGTTGAAATTACTTAGGCTTAGGCCAATAGATTGCAAGTATTAAATGTCAGAAAGTAGCAAAGTCAGTCTCTTAACGATTAATAAGCAATGTGTCTTATGTAATTGACGTTTGGATCAGTGATCAGTGAGACAGCAAAGCAGAAATTAACAAGAAACAAAAGTTGGGACACCCACCATCCCTGATTGCTACACGAAAAATAAAGTTAACTGCAGAAAATCACATATGAAGCACTAAAAAAATTTGTAGAGATCGCATATCCTGTTCAAACATGAACCCAACGACCGCATCCATGATACGATGGAATCATTCTTCTGCATTTCTTGAAGAAATGCGCCAAACACTCTATGTCCTGAAAACGCCTCTATTATCAATTATATCTTTGATATTAACTACTCCTTCTCTGTGCCAGTGCCTCGGCAACTTTCCCATAGGCATCGAAGATCAAAGACATCGCTTCACACCGGAGCAGGCTTCTTTTGCTCGGAAGGCTATATTTGCCTTTCTATGTATGTTCTAATTTAGCACATATGACAAAGTCAATGCACAATTCCACATGATCGGTACCATACACAACTTCACTATATATAATTATTATTGTGTTAAAATAGACTTTATATTTATCAATACAGTGGGACTTTCAACGCGGCGTCTACCCTATAATCTTGATAACTTTCGATGATATATCTGCATAGCACAAGTTCGGTGTCGGTTATTTTACATCGTACCACCTGTTTTAGTTCTGCAATCGTGTTCGGTTTCAGACACACGACCTATGAATCTTATACGACCGGATAGTGTCGGGTTGGCTTCCCTCTTGGAATCGCCGAGCTATTAAAACCCTTCACGCTCACCTCTAGAATCACCCGTAGGGCATTACTTTGGAAGTCTTCCTCCAAATGGCTGCTACTGTTTTACTTCCCTTTCACCGTTCTTCCTTTTATAATTTCCGAATCGGTCATTTGGCAATCTTTATTCCTTCTATCGGGGCCTCGTGCTCTACACCAAACATTGTGTGTTATTTGTTATGGGAGAAAAAGATTTATCTTACTTTTCGAATCATGCGGATTGTTTTACATACCTGGATGAGGGGGAAGATAGGGGGAACCTATCTTTGTTCCTCCTTCCTTCTCGTTTCCTCACCCAGTTGACACTTACTTCACAATTCCTCTCCTCTTCCCCTTCGTCATCGGATCGTTGGTCTGAGCATCGCATCTTCTATGTTCCATATATTCCTATTTCTTCCGCAAGCAAGCAAGCTTCCTAGGGAGCAGCCTTAATTTTTCTTTCTTCCCTCTCCTTCTCCACCATTACACCCCGTAGGCAGTCCAGGAGACGCTGTTCTGTTTTTTGCCTCGTAGACTATACTCTTCAAATAGCCCCAAAGGAAAAATCGGAATGTTTCTGCTGTTGCATGGCAGGTAGCGGGTCTTAATGCCTGTTCCTTGTAAGCGTAGTACCACTTGTTACCCTTTACAACACGGAACTTTATTTCATTACTGCATGAGCTATTCTGTGTAATCTATGAATCTAGATAGGAGAACTGTTATAGTTCTTCAAACATGTAACTACCGACTTCCATGTGTGTATTGTTCGTTGCTGTATTCCGCTGTAATGTTACGTATTTAGTCTTGACTTCGTTTATTTCCAGCCCCGTCATCTGCGCTTGGTTGGCCAACATGGTTAAGTTTTTCTCAGACTCTCACACTTCTACTGAAAATTACTATGTGATCGGCATAGGCGTATACTTGTCATGTTTTAGTACCAATATACTCTTCAACTCTTTTGAAGTCGGATGGTCTGGCTTACACTTTTAAGTATTGCCGTTCCTTACTCCAATGAATTTGGTTACCAACTTCTTTGACTCCAACACAATTCTTTTTGTCCATCGTAACTGTTTTAGCAGTTCCGTTTTCCAAAAACTTTTAATACTTATATTGCCATTATTTATCATAACGCTTCCTTTCAACTTCTACATTATTTCTGCTCTGTAATTTAATAGAGGTTTTATTGTTATTACTTTTTGTCTCAACTTCTTGTTTACTCATCATCCTTACCATTTTATTAGTCACATATTTCCATATCTTCTTATGATTATATAATTCCACTTTAAAAAAAAAATTTAATTTATAAAGTTTTAAATTAAGGCAATAAAATATGAAAGTTACAATTAACTGGTAATTAATAGTTCTATGGTTTCCCGAATTAATTTACTCACAAAATTCTGAAGATATCGAATATTAGCAACAACTTAAAATTGATGATAAACATAAAGTATTAATTTTATACTTCATTTCCCGAAAAAAAGTATTTACCACGGTTGCGATTTAACCTTATTAAACTTTAATCCTTTCATTAAATTCGTTGTTTAAATACCGTAAACAAACCGAAGCCTATTACAAGTTAATCAAGCGAATAAACATACAACATAACGCAGTTATATCCGAGATATAATCTGAGATTTCAGTTACTAAATATTCATCATTAATTGGTAAATTAATAAGAGACGGAATAAGGAATTATGTTTTATAAAATCACAAATTTACGATTGTATTTTAAGTTTATCCTTTGGAATTGTTGCCTGTATTAATTATAACCAAATTGATTGCACTAAAAATTGTAACATGTATATATTTTTTAAAGATTTCTATATAAAAGCAAATTCGTGGATTTTCAGATATTGTGTATGTATTTATATAATAACCGAATATAATATACACTCTTGAATAAACAAGTCTTTAAATTGTTTTTTAATAATATTAATACTAGAAGTGATTTACAGTTATAACATTAATAAGTCAATTTAATTTTATGAAAACATAATATGTTCTAACAAGATCTAGTACTTAGACAAGATACCGCAAAACCTCTCATTTTCTTCCCCTTGTTTCCTACGAGTTTTCAAAATTCCGTGTAACAACCGTGCGGTTAATTACCTTTTATTGTAACACATATGAGAAACTCGTGTTTTCACTCTAAAATTACATCTTTCCAAGACAGTTTATTATTAAGGATTTTTTTAAAACACCATTCCATCACGGTTTACACTCAATTAGGTTAGTTAAAAGTTACAGTTTTAATAAAAAGTAGAACATTCTCGGATGTTTTATATTTTTTGTGGTATTAACACGCATTCCATCCAGGAAGTAGTACTAAATTTTGGTTAAATTCGTGTTAAATTAAAAATAAAAGGATTAAACAAAAAGGAAATCAAAAAATATATAAAATGTTTTAGTAGCTTCATTTTTGATGTAGAGTTCAACAGAACGTTCCCCGTCACAATCAGAAATAATAAATATGAATATTTATGAGAAGAAATTATTAATCACGAGACGTTGTAGCGTGCTCTTATCTTGACATTAAGATATGTATTTGGTGCAAAAAATATTCAAGCTAATCAATAAGAATTTTCTCTTGGAGCTTGTTTAAAAGTTGAACTGTTTTAATGAGTCATTCTTAACCTTCATTGTACCAGCCCATTGAAATGGACTCCATCTGTATTGCTTGAAATATACGGAGGAGTGTATAGTAAACATTAAATGTGTGAAAACAGCGCAATAAATTTAACAACTAAAATAATTTTTATTGTAACCTTAAAATAATCAATACGTGCTTTTTTTAACCCGAACTTTATGGATCACTCTTAA